AATAAGAGAATAAATAAATGAAGGCTTTTAGCATTGCAGAGTATAATCTTGCCGTTAACTACTCACAGACACTGAGTGTGACTCAGATCCTACAGGGATTTGATGTCTGTAGAACTCTGATTTTCTATGAACTCCTGATCTACATGAGAAAGGGAAGAATCAGGCCTGCCTCGTCAGCACGGAGCTCCTGCAGTAAATAAAACCTTATCAGTGAAAGTGCTTTTGAGCATTTAATCTGCAGGGCTTTTTTTCAAAATCTAGTTTACGTGGTAGTTGGGTTGGGGGTGTTCCGTATTTGGCTGATGAAAGGGCCTTGTTTGTTTTGCTTTTGTTTCTAATAACTTTTATTCTCCCTCATCTGGCCTTGGTGATGCAAAATGGGCTTTTGGATAGTCTGGAGGAAAACTGGAAAGGCCAGAATTCAGATGCTGTTGTCATTTTCTGCATGACAGGAAGATTTCCACAAAGATAAAATTTAAACAGTTATCCTGGAGTCATTGAGAATATTTTAATTTTTAAATCGGATTTCAAGGAAATTTTCGTTTGTTTTGGCTTTTTAATGGTCCCGGTGTCTGCTTCAGGATCTGGAGTTCCCAATAAATGTATTGACTTAGATTTACCTGTGATTAACCCAGACCAGATAAGGCCATGTTCCTGCATTTTAGCAGCGATRAGAATTGCAGAGATCCCAGATCCACTGGAGGGAGGAAGGCAGACCCTACAACACAGCTCTGGCTCCTCGKGTTGGGTGCCTGGAGCTTTCCTGTAACTGCTGCAATGCTAAAACATGGATTTGTGGATGTTTTCTGTGCAATGCCAACACTCTGAGCAGTTTTGCAGTGCTGGAACGTTCAGCCATGGTTTGCAATGGCCAAGCCTTGCTGGCTCATCACCCCAAACTCTGTGTGACTTTAAAGGGCACCCTGAACTTGCAGAGCACAGAGCAGGATGAGTGTGTGAGTGGAAACCCAGCTGTGTCTGGGCTTCCCCCGCTGGCCAGGGGCGAGCTGTGAGCAGCCAAGGACTGAAACTGTCTGCCAGTGATTAGCCAAAGCCARAGAGTGGCAAACAACTGAAATGAGTCCTCCTGTCACACTGTGCAGGCTCGGTGGGRGCTGCTGYGAGCACCCAGCTTCAACATCACCCRTTTCCTCTGTTYTCTTACTAATTGTGATTAGTCATTTGTAACTCCCACTGCGTCATGTGCCTGCCCCAGCCTTGTGTTGGGGCTCTGTCGCTGCTGGTGTGGTGGGAGATGGTTCCAGCTGAGAATTGGGATCAGGGGGAGCGTGCAGAGAGCCATGGGCAGCCCTGGAGAACATGGGTCATTGAGGCTGGCCCATGTTCCCTGGTGCTCAGGGCATTTGGGTTCAAGGAGAGTCCAGGGAGGGCAAGGAAATCCCACTCAGCTTTTCTCTCCTGTGGCTGGTTGGGAACGCTGTGGTGGCCATCCCTGCAGGAGCTGGAGAGGGAGGAACATTGCTTTGCCTTCCACAACACTGGGGCTCATCCCACCTGCTTTGTGTGGAGGGCAGAAAATTGCTGGGGTGGTTTGGCTCTCAGAGAGAGCATGCTGAGGTTTAAAGGGGAGGAAAAAAATAGCACTTGTGGTTGTAGGAGTGCAAACCTTTCCCTATGGAACGGGCATTGCCGGGTCGTGGTTTGGTCCCAGCGCATTTTGGCTGTGCTGTTGCTTTCTGCTGCATGCAGAGAGGAGTCTGCCTGAGGGTTTCCATGATTTCTGCTGACTTCAGCCACACTTCTCCTGAACTTTGTTTTAAACAAAATCCCACTCCAGCCTATCTCTTTGCCAYGCTGCTCCCACAGCCCTGCCTATCCCAGGGATGGGAACTTTTACTTTTTCCAGCACTGCTCTATGCACAGTATCCTGCCTGTGGAAGAGCTTTGCATATCTGAGTGCAGGACATGCCTGCTCCCAAACAGAAACCCTCCCATTCCCAAACCCTGCTGCCTACGGGATGCTATAAATAACCCYGGGAGCACGGTTCAGCTGCAGCAGCTTTGTGCTGCATGGAACCATGGCTGGAGCCGGTCCAAGAAAGTGCCGCCTCCTAATTTCAGATCCGCTTTCTCAAAATAACTCCTGTGTTTCCTCCTCTTCCATTTTTAAACTTCGCTTTAAGAAGAGCCCACGCAAAATCCCAGACTCTCCCTCCCCTCGAGGCTCTCCTTCCTCGTGGGGTTGGCTCGTCATCCCCACGGGAGCTCACATGGCCGGAAAGTCGCTCTCCTGCCCGCGTTCCCCTCCCAAGCCTATTTTAAGTTTCTTCAAAGGAAAAGCAAGRGGCTGGAGTTTGCTTTGGAAGGCAAATGCTCTTCAGGCGAGAATGAAGGTTTTCGTAGTCTGAAGCAAGGTTTTTGCTGTTGGAGAAGATCTCTTTAGCTCCAGGCCCCTTGGAGGARCGTGAGCCGGGGTAAGAGCACCGTCTGCCYGTCCCTGTCCCTGCCTGTGCCCCTGCCAGGGGGAGAGCGGGACAAATTCTGCTGCCTGCCTCATCTGTGGGTTCCCTTCTGCATCCCTGGGCCCCACAGTTACACTGTTCGTGCTTCAGACATGCTTCTTGAGGCACCTTCATCCCTTAAAAAGGCACTTGGAGCTCCCTCCATGAGCACCCCTGCTCCAGTGCTGGAGCAACATTTCAGGATTCTGCACTGGATCAACAAAAGTGGTTTTTGCCTCCTTGCTGTGGTGGTACAGCGAGACTGCACAACTGGTGGGGGTCTCCATGTGTCCCACCAGAGGTAAAGGCTTGGGTTTGTTTGTTGGTGCATTTCTCTCTGTTCAGTTACAGAAATGCAGGCACAGCTGGGATCACTGAGCAGATGCAGGATAAACCCTGTGCTTTTCTCTGCAGGGTCCATCACTAAATGTACTCCTGACAAAATCARGTCCTAGATGTCCATGCCTTTGGAAGGGAAAGGATTTCCCAGGACTATCAATGGTCTTCAGCAAAGGTCCCAGTGCTGCAGGAGTGCCTGGGGGGCTGCCTTTGTACCTGAACAAAGTTTGAGCTTTGCCTAAATTCTCCATTGAGGCTTCTGGCTCTCTGGGTGCCTCRGCAGGAGCGATCTCCCTGTGTCTGTGTCCTCACAGATGAGCCCCAGCACAGTGGGAACCTTTTGCTGGGTGTTTCATGTTCTCCCAGTTCTGCAGCCAGCTCTCACCTCAGCCTGCCAGGCCTTTCAGACAGCTCGTTATGGTTCTGCTATGATCTGATAAAGGCAGCAAGGAGCATCAGCAATTACAGTGGGTGTCAAGTGTTAATTGGGCAGCTTTCAAGATAGAGGCATTTCTTTGTGTACGTACAAAGATGTGACGTGCTCGGAATAGCTTCTCCTCCTGATCTTTCGTTCTGGAGACGCGTCTATTGCAGTTGGTTAATGCAAGACAAATTATGTCATTCTTCTTGATTCGCCACATGTTCTGCCGATGGTGGTTTGCCTCTGGCTTGTCTCATTAAGTTGTCTAAACATGGCAAATGCAGCAGCTGAACACACTCAGCTTTTTCTCCGAGTTAATCTCATTGTACACACGGGCCTTCAGCATCACTGGTCGCTTGCTGTGCCATCCCTGCTGCCAGGGCATCTTCCACCAGTGCTGGTGCCCAGGAGAACAGGCACATGRTGAGACTGTCTGCCTTAAGTGAGGCTGCAATCTTCTGCCCATAATTATGCTGACTGCAATTAATTGGTTTGTTGCTTTTTGTCCCAGGTATGCATCAAAAAAATTTAGGTAAGCTGATGCTTCCTGCTCACCAGCAACCAATGGCATTGGAGGAGGGCATTGGCCAGATCATCCCCTTAGATGCTGATATGCAGAGTTTTTAGCAGTTTTAATGATCTCTCCTCCCCTGAAAATCATACTCCCTGGTTTTAATTCTGTAAGACTTTTTAATGCCACAGTGCTGATGCTCTCCAAGGTCAGCAGATTTTATAGCTCGTGAAGWCCAAAATATTGAGCTCTGGCTCAGAGTTCTCCATGGAGTGATGAATCTTTCCAAGGGCAGGTCCCTGGGCAGACCTGGCTCATTGCCATTAACAGGTGAAACTTCTGGAAACCCACCACGGGGGTGGATGCCAGGAGCCCAGACTCCAACCTACCCCTGCTCCCCAGGCCTGGGGCTCAGCTCCCTCTTTTAGGAGATTTTCTCTCTCCCTTACCCCAAAATAGCTMAAACTGCCTGTTTTATCTGAACCTGTGAAAATCCATCTCCTCATCCCCATCACTGTCAGATATTTGGCTTTAGCAGCTCAGCCTGTGATGCCAGCAGCGTGCAGCGATCTGGATTTATCGGACTGTCAGTAACCCCCCTGAACAGCCTGGCTTTGCGAGGAAGTGCTGTTTACTGAAAATGTCATCTTTTATTTAGACTCCCATGTCTACAGCCAGCCCATGTCTTTTTTTCCGGCCTGTTTAATTAGTAACCACTACACGGCCCCCGACACCGTGTTCCTGGGTGKTTTTTTGCCTTTAATAATAAGCACTAGGTGCCCTGGCCAGGGGTGGGAGGGGACGAGGAAARGCTCCTCTGCGGCAGCGAGGGGAGGGAAGCGAGAGCACGCCGAGGAGCCAAGGGCAGCTCTGATGATCACATGYTCGTGCAGCGATGAATCCTAGAAAGGGCATCATCTCGGCGTGTGTGCCCGTGTGCCCGCCCTCCTGGCAGGGCAGCCGTGCAGAGGTAACGGGCACAGCCCTGCCGGGCACCCRCGGGGTCAGGGATTGGGGTCATTCCTGGGCACCGCTCGGATGAGTCGGAGTCCTGATCACCCCAGTGCTGGAGCTCTTCACCCATGGGTTTTTCCTGCGGGTGCAGAGGCTGAGCTGAGCTCTTCCACCCGCTGTCGGGATTTGTGACGGCTCCGTGGAGGTTTGAGAAGTGCTTTGAGCAGAGGGGAGAGCTGGAGCAGAGAGCCGCGACTTGTAACCGGTGGCACAAATAACTTTTGTTCTTCCTGTCCCCTTTTCCTCCCTGCAGAAGAAGGCGGAGGCTGCCCACCGGATCCTGGAAGGACTGGGTCCKCAGGTGGAGCTGGTGAGTGTTACCTGTGGCTGCAGGGAGCGGGGCCAGCTTTGGAGAGGTTCCTGGGTGGCGAGGGATCGCGGAACCCTGTTTGTGTGTGTGTGTGTGACAAGAGGAAGTGTGCTGCTGGCCCGGACCTGCTGCTGGCACAGCACCAAGGCAGGAAGCGCAGTGACTGAGCTGAGTGCTGAAACGCAGGCAGACACATCCACAGAGCCCTCCTCGGAGAGGTTTAACCCTTTGGCTCCTTCCTCGTGCGCTGCGGTGGAGATGGGGATGGAAGGGGCTGTGGCTGTGGTGTGGAAGGAGGGGTGCTTGGGCTGTCCCCTGTCCCACTGATGATGGAGAAGGRTGCTCTGAGCACAGYCCCAYTGCAGCCATCAGGACTCKCACGCTTCCTATTTCGGTCTCTCTYGTGCACGGGGAAGCCGAGGAAACARCTCAGAACAAAYTGTCGATTTTGGCTGCTCCRTCATCTGGAGAAATCCATCCATCAGTCAAAGGAGRGAGAGCTGGGAACAGCCCCCAGAGGCTGAGYCCTGGAGAAGGRTACCTGGARAAGTGCACTGGCAGGGATGCTGCTGGAAGGATCAGCCCCRGTGTGACAGAATCTCCTGCTCTGCAGCAGCCGTGGGATGCAGTGGAGGGAGCCGTCGGAATGAGATGGGAGCAGGCAGCTCACAGGCTTCCACAGCTGTGATTTGCACTTGCCTTGTGGAGGTGGTGCTAATTRCTGTCTTCCCCTGTGCATGAGGGAGAGGTCACACGTGACAAAGCCCACTTCCTCGTTGAGGAGGTAACACTCATTATTATTATTCCTCTGAGTCACCAGGGTCAAACAAACCCTTTGCTCTTTCTGCTCCGAAGATTGGCAGTGCCCARGGTTGATGCTTCATCATCTGAAAGATTTGTTTCCTTTCCTTCCTGCTTCTCTGTTTTTTTCGCTCCTTTTTTTTCAGTTTGTTGATGCTTTGTGTCTGGGTGTTAACACTGCACAGTGGGAGCTGTAACACAGCCCAGTGCAAACCTTTCTGCTGTCTCCGTGCTTTACTCATTGGAGGGCAGGGGAAAAGGGGAAACCTCACTGAGAAAACCCTRTGAAACCCCAGCTGGGCTGTGTGTGCATCCTGCAGACTGGAGACACAGCAGAGACATTTCCTRTGGCCCACAGAGTGCCCAGGACCTGCCAATGTCCTACAAGAGACAAGAGGTGAATGGTCCCAGTAGGGATCCAGTTCAGGTGCTGGGAAGCTGGTGCTCCCCTCTGGGTCAGGAGGAGGTTGARACTCAGCAAACCAGGACTCTGTCATTTCATCCCTGCAGACCATTATAAAAAATGTCCCCATGTTTTCCCCAGGGAGAAATGTTTTTGAGATGCATAGTCTGAGCCCTGCAGTGTCCACAAAGCAGTTGAGACCTTTCATTCTGTTTCGTTTCTAAAGAGCTTTCAGTGATTCCAGGGCTTTTCCAGTAATAGCTTTGCATTGCAATTATGTTTTTCTAAAATGTCATCCCCCAGAGAAATGCATTACATGTTCCTAACCCTGGAGARATGCTGGGGATGTTTAGAACATCTCTTTACCTATCTGAGCTGTGAGCTCTACTTYTGCTTGCTTACTGAGAAAGGTGAAATTTGGAGTTGTGGATGGCTCTGAGGGAAGATGCAGTTTCTTAGTCCCAGCCCTGTTGAGAATAAAGGTTCTTCAAGAATTTAGTCTGTAAGTTCTCCATGAGTAAGTAGAATTTGTCTCCTGGGCTTCCTTCACTGCATGGGCCGAGTTACAGTGCTGATATTGTGCAGATAGAAATCTGTTTGAGATGTTGGATCTTGGATTTGGGTGCCAGAATTTCTTATTTCTGAATATTAAGGCATTTCTTTTAAAGTGATGTGTTCCAGTGTTTGRCTGCTAACACTTAGATTTGTTAGCTAAAGCTCTTAAGTGTTCATATTGTACATCAGTTGTAGTGGAGAGGAATCATCAGTTTTTGGGTGGTATCAGGGCATCTGTGATGCCCATGTGCTCGTGAGCATTTTCTAATCCAGGTTCAAGCCAAAACGTTGATTTCACTGCATCTCCCAGSAGGAAGGTCTCTGTGACCTGCCACATGCAAGCTTCTTGGCTTTGATTTCTGTGAGCAAAGAGGGAAGAGAGACTCTCATTTCTCAGTATTTCCAGTTCCTGCAGTCCTCTTCCAAGAGATTGTCACTGGTCAAGGCCTCTCAGTGGTTGTTCCAGTTGAGCCTTTCCAGGGTGACCTGTGATGCTCTGGAGCTGCTGCTCTGTTTCTTCTCCTGGTGGTGCAGACCTGYCTCTGTGAGCTACGTGATGAGACGGATGTCTGTGTTCTCTGAGCTTTCCAAGCATGAAGTGCACAGCCAGCTCTGAGCCTGGAGTCGAACCAGCAGATCTGAGAGGATTYGTGACAGAAACACTCCTGGGGAAGGGATAGCACTGACAATGTCTTCTTCACAAGGAYCTGCTGTCCCTCTCATCCACCCTGGCTTTGTCAGCAGAGGGTGGCCGGTTGTCTCCTGGCAGGTGTCTCCTGCAGCCCTTCCATCACCCCTCACCATCAGCCCCACATCCCTCCCAGAGCACAGCATCTCCTCTGCCCTGCCTGTCTGCCTGGGGATTCTGTGTGCTTTCCCAGCCAAGAGGGACACATCCGAGGGCAGCCAGGAACAGAGGCTGATGGGCTGCGTGGGGCAGGGAGAGCAACACCCAGAGTCGGTTCTGTGGGGCTTTCTGTGGCTGTCCTGGTGTGCAGCAGAGTGGGGAGGCAGTGTCTGTGTTTGACAGGCTGTGGGGATAAATGAGCCTTTGTGTCCCAACCTGTGATGGTGAAAGGGTGATACAGAGGAGGTGGGAGTTACACCTTCATCAGACCTGTTTTTGTTTACAGGTCCTGTCGCCTCCAGTGCTGCTCACCTGGTGGAGCAGATGCCCAGCAGATGTTTTGCTCTTTCCTTGTGTTTATTGTGAAATGAAATTGGGCAGACCCAGAGCACAACCCCAGCCCTGTGACCACAGTGGGAGGGTGCACTGGTGTGTGTGGCCATGGTCAGGATATCCTTCAGCCAGGACTAACCCATCACATGTCCCTGTGTTTGGCCACACATGTTAGATCTCACAGCTGGCTGGGGAAGGTTTGTGGATGGATTGCTTGAGTGCTTGGTGATGTTTCTGTGGTCAGACCTGAGCTGTGCTCGTTGGGTGCTGAGTTGCTGCTGRTGGTTGGGCCATGGCAAGTTTTTGGTTATCCCGGTCTTGGACATGTTCCCAGCAGCTGAAGACAGTGAACAGAAATGYTGAAAGGCTTCATCCTGAGCACCCTGTCAGCCTGCTCATGTGGACACAACTGGTGGCAGCCCCTGGAGCATGTGCCAAGCTGTTAATTGCAATGAGTGGGATTGAGCCTGGGCTCTGTGGCATCTCTCCCTTCCAGAGGTTGAACCCTCCAGGTTCCCAGGGGTAAATCCCTGGGAAAGGAGAGGAAGCAGGGGCAGAGACCAGGGATGGATCCAATTCTCCTGACTCCCCTTGCAGCTCCCTGCCATATCCCCAGACCGTGTTGGAGACAGAACAACCCCGGGGAAAACACTTGGAGCTCAGTTACCCCTCCTGAGGGACAGACGAGCCTGGCTGCACTCAGAGGTGACAGGCTGGGGGCCACCCCACCCTTGGCAGTGCCGGAAAACCCAGGGACAAACGCTGTGGTGGCCGCAGTTGCCCGTGCCTGGCTCGCCGGGAGGGCTCAGGCAGGTTTGTGCCGCGTAGACATAACAACCACGAGCTCACAGGCTGTCTGTGCCGCTCCCGAGCCTCCCCCGTGCCGTATGCCGCCAGGCGCAGTGCGTTTGTCGAGCGCTCAATAACAGCCACGCACTCGCCGCGCCGTGCGCTCTGGACGCCGTCGCAGATCACAGATCGCAGATTTCTCTCTCTCGCTGCCCTCCCCCGGGCTCAGCCGGGATGCAGCGGGGCTGGCACGGCGCTGCCGCCAGCCWGAGCCCTCCAGTACGGCCGGCAGCGGGGCTGGCGGGTTTGAGTTCCTAAATGTCAGACCGTGCCACTGATGCCTTCGTTTCTCTTATTTATTTCAGCCGTTATACAACCAGCCTTCAGACACCAGGCAGTACCATGAAAACATTAAAATGTAAGTACGTGGCAATAAAGCTGTTTTAAATGGCAGGTTGGGCGATAGGCTGGAGCAGGAGGGGTGCCAGCTTGCTCCCAGACCCCGATTAAAGCTGCTGAGGAACTGTGAGCATCCTGTTGGAGCTGCTCTGGGTGCCTGAAGCACAAACCAGCTCCAGGAGCAGCTCCAGGAGCCCAGCAGGCGGGAGCTGTAGCTTAAGGTGCCCGCTGAAGGTGCTGTTTGATTTTCTCAGGGTGGGGTGGATGTGGGTCCTGGCTGGTCCCTTGGTGTTTTCCCAGAGAACACTTACCTTAAATGCTTTCTTCTGTGTTTCACTGAAATATGAAATCAGCTGCCAGAGAGTGTGTGTGTGTGTGTGTGTGTTTGCATGCGGGAAAGATGAGGTAAAATGAAAAGTTGCAATTACAATTAGATTTTCATGAAGGACCTCTTGAATGTCTAATAACAACTGGTTATTTCAAAGATACTTACTGAGACTTAGCAATCATCTAATTTGACTTATCACCTCAATACATGATTTAATCATCAGCATGTGTTTAATAACCACAGTGACTTCCTGAACATAGAAGAAATATAACAGATAATGAGAATAGCGATAATTGTGATTATTGTTGGGAATTTAAATAGTCAAACCAGATCTGAAACTTTTTATCTGCCTTGAATGAACTGATGATTGCTCTGAGCTGCCTGCAGCGTGTCTATTTTGGTAGCAGCTCGGTCAGCTGGTGATAATCATCTTTAATAATCTATTAACAGAAGTTAATAATCTCTTGCTTTTCAGCGGTATGTTAATTGATCCCGGGGGTTTGTAGGGGAGGAGTTCCCGTACCTTTGCTCTAGGGGAGCCTGGCAGGAGGTGTTTAGGGGCTCCGTGTCCCCGAGGGCTGTGGGGAGGAGGGTTTGGTGACGTGACCCCACTGTTCACTGCCAGGTCCCGCTCTGTTCCTGCTCCACCCAAAGCTTCCCGTGTCATCCCAGCAGCGCGTTCACTGCGAAACATCCAAACCCAGCATCACCCCCGGCCCCTCGGGGGGTCCCTGTCACTTCAGGGGGTCCCTGTCMCTGTCACTTCAGGGCACTGATGTCTGCATTGCTGGCTGTGTCTCACCCCCAGCTCTATGGTGTGTCAAGTCCCCAGCTCTTGGGGAYGTTCTCTTGCCCTGGAAGGCCCCACAGCCATCCCAGTGCTGGTGGCAGTTCCAAGCTGATCGCCAGTGCTGTCCTCGAAAGAACGAGTTAAAAGTAGATTCAGATGCTTCACCCACTCTCTGTTCCCCTGCCAATATTTGTGGGTTTGTGATCACATTTTCCTGTGATTTAAACGATTTCCTGTCCTGGGTTGCTGCCTGAAAGACGGGCACAAACAAGAGGGAGCTGAGTGCACAGGTCAGGAGTAAAACTGTTGGTAAGAGGTGAAACCCCATCAGACCAGGCATGAGAGCGGGTGTTCTCCTCCATCCACAGGGCTGTCCCCACCCCAGACAGTGACAGTCCCCATGTGGCTGTGGCACTGGCAGTGACAAACCCAGGAGAGCTGGAACAGGCAGGCTTGGGGTTAATGTTCACCGTGATTAACGCTGCAAAAATACGGGAAGGAAACCACACATTTAATGAAAAGCCTCCATCTCCTGCTTCCAGAAACCTGGCAATTAGCTGCCTTCAGCTGGTTGTTGGTGCCAGCCAAGCACAGTTACAGATCTAGGTCAGTCACAGACCCCTGAGCGATCTGGATTCCAGATGTTGGCTGCTTTTGGCTGAGGGTCTGTCTTGGAGGTCCTTGGGTCTGGTCTGCACTTTGCTACTTGTTGGTGGGCATGCAGATAAATTGGTGTGTCTTTTGTCCAATTTCTGGGTCCCTGCTGCACATTAAATGACATTTTGATGCTTGGGGGACAGATAGGAAATGGAGATTTTGGTGATTCTTCCAAGCAAATGATTCCGGGTCCCTTAACCAAGAGCAGAAGATATTCTTTGTTTTGACCAAGTTCTGCTTGCATGTTCCCATCTGATCTACAACKTTTCCACAAGCTGAATTTGAAGATATTTTTTGTCTTTTCCTTGTTCTTAATATGTGCTTTTCTGCTCCAGAAGAGCAGCTTCTGCTCCATAGCCTGGAGGTGGCTGTTTCCATAGAAGATGGAGTAAATCCTCAGGGGGCTGGGAGACACCAGCCAGATGCATTAGAGCACCAGGMCAGCTGCCAGGACACCACAGGTTGTGTTTTGCCAAGGTGTAATTGGATGCAGATTCTCCAGAACAGCTTCACCCTCTGCAGATCCAGCCACGATGAAAAACCCTTTTGGCAGATCGCGGAAAATCATCGGGGTTGTGATTCTGTCCACAAATCCTCGCTGCATCCTGGCTGCGTTGTGCCAAATGGGAACTGCTTCCATGTGAGGCTGGTTTGGAGCCTCACACCTGGGCACAAGATGGACAGGCTGTTACTGTCACAAATACCTTTTACAGCTTTTTTTTTTAAAAAAAAAAAAAATTTCCTAGCGTGTTTTTTTTTTCTCAGTTGAATGTTTGCAAGTGTCAGCGAGAAGGCATTTGAATATCAGAAAGCCAGGATTCCTCGATTTCTCCACAGCCATACTCTCTGCCTTGCAACACTCATTTAATTCTCCCTTCTTGTTTGCTTTGCTTTTCAGTGGGGATGAGTCACGTATGCTAATAGAGCTGACTGGGGACTTACCGGGAGAATTTCTCCTCTTACTGAAACGTTACCRGTCTCTTATTTTCATGGAGTTTTATGGCCTGTCTCCTATTCAGTACAGTTAAAATTAATTTCATGCCCCAGTTCATTCCAGTGTTTGCAGCTTCAAAAGCTTTTAAGTCCTATTTAGCTGGCTGGCTGTGCTCCGTTGCTCGCCTGCGCGGTCCCTTTGGTTCACCTGCGAGTKCAGGCTTCCAGCAAACATGGTTAATTTTGTATGCTACATCTGCCRCGGGATCCAAGGCACCCTTGAGTGGTTTGTTCCAAAGACTTGACCTACCTTTGATGGGACYGTGTCCTTTCTGTCTGAAATACCTGCTTTGTTGGAGAGAAGGGGAAGGAAGAGGGTGAGGTGGTGTTTAGTGCCCTTGTTTCACAGGGATGGGGTGAGCTTTGCCCCTGCAGCTGGCTTGGCCCTTGCTGCCTTTCAARGTGAGAATTTTTCGGCTTTTCAACAGACTGAGAAGTTCCTTCAAGATGCATCACAGCCCGAAACGCAACTGGAGACCACTCGAGTGATTCTGCATCGGTTGAGGAGGCTCCAAAGACCCTTTTTCTATATTTTGATGAAACACAACGACTGCAGAAGACACGTCACGCTGGTGCATCAGTGAAGCACCAGTGCCTCTAGTCAAGGTTTTTATTRCAGTGCTTTGCCAGCTGGTTGTACAAGGATGAGAGCTGCCCTTCCCACCCCGCCACAGCAGAGACTTTGCGTATTCCCCAGACTCTGGCTCCAGAGATATTAACCTTCCTTCCTCCCAGTGTTTGAGAAACGACAAGATGTTGTTCACATGAGCAGGATCAATTACCTGCTGTCTGTCTGAAGAGATATTCTCCAAGGGGGCTTGCATCTCTGCGGCGGGAGATTCCTGCTCGGTCAGCTGTGAAAAACAGCCCAGCAGGACTCTCCTCCCCCCTTTCCCGAAGAAGTCATCTTGCAATCATATTCTCTGAGATTTCTCGTGTTTGAAAGCAAAATGTGAGCTTTCCTGAGCCTCGAAAAAACGGGCAAAAAGCAAAGTGAATAGCTCAGGGTAAGAGCATACAAAGTGCTGTTCACAGGGTTTGCTTTAAACCTCCCCTCCTCCTTGCTTTACACTGAAATTCAGGAATATTGGGGTGAAACCAGGCTTTATCCCCTCAAGATGCTTAAGGGAGGTGTTGGAGAACCAGGGTCAGAATGTACAGTGAATGAAACAGATGGAGAGCTTGGTGTGATTTGGGTTTTCTCACGTGTCAGATCCAGCGGCAGCAGAGCTGAGTGCACTGTTAATATTTGCACATCTGGGTTGCTGTCTGCAGCTGAGAGCTTCTTGGGGAGAGGGCAGGAAATGTGCCTCTGCAGAATCAAAACCTGAAGTCAGGATTTTCAGAGAGGTTTCAGGGCTTCTGAATCTCTTTTTGTTTTCTAAATGCCCCCCCAAAAGAGGAGAACAGCTTTCTTCTGAGAATCTCACAACTGTGGCTTTCCAAATCACTTGTCACATTGGGAAATTTAAGTCATCTTTTCATTACTTGCTGTTTAGGGGATTTAGTAGCACCGGATTGCCTCTAAATTCATATTGAAGCCTGACATGTAACACAAATGTTCTTTCAAACCCTGTCATTACTAATGCATTCTCTTTCAGGTCTTTTTATTAGTGCTTGTAGACATTTTCCTCATTAGAAATTCACCTAGCAGCTCCCTGCTCATCCCATTCAAGGTTTCTCATCTCTTTTATTCTCCATTGGCATGCACCAAGGCAGCAGATTACCTAGTGATGAATTGCTAAATGATGGAGACACACACTGCTGCCTCCTGCTTCTTCCCCTTGCCAGTRAAAAGCCAACACTGGTTTGGGGGGGATTGTCTTGCAGCACTTGGGGTTGTGCTGCCAGCTTGGGCTTCAGGGGTGTTTCTGTATGAACAGAGTGTACATCCAGAGTGATAAAACTCTGCCACCTCATTCTCAGAGGCACTGATGATGCTGAGGGTTTAGTCCATCCTGGTGCCCAAAAGTTCTGGGGTAAATAAATAAAGATCTGCTTTGCTTTTCTTCCCCAAAAAGTGTTTCTAAATATTGCAAGGAGCTGCTGTGAGCAGCTGGCTCTCCAGAAGCGTGTCCTGCCTCGGGGTTAGTGGGTTACAGTGTGTTAGCAGCTGGAGCCGTGYGCTCCAGCCATGGCAGAGCGATCGGGGGCTGAGTGCAGTGACCCGTGAGCAGGGTGACCTGCTCCCTGCCCTCACTGCAGGGAATCCTGGGCCTGCAGGGTGTTCCTGCCTGCCCTGAGCACAGTTTGGGGTCCTGGCACCAGCCATGTGCAGGGGGAGCACACAGTTGGTTTGGTCTCCATTGCCTCCAGGCTGGTTTCACCTCTGAGCCCTCTTTTTGTGCTCCTCTGGCCTCCTGGTTTGCACATCTCTGGTGTCCCTGTGCTTTGTCAGGAGCTCCCTGGGTTTCCCACCCTTKCCTGTGTGATCCATCTTGCTGTACAATGGCTTTGCCAGCTGCTCACCCCCTCCTTCCCGTCTCTCTCTGCAGTTTGGTCCCTACTTTGTTTGCCGTGGCTGATGAAAGACGTTCCTGTGTAATTAAATACCCCTGRTTAGTTTTGCTCGAATAGCAAACTTCCTTTCATCTCATTTTGCACGGGCTGAAGGTCTCCTCGGGCTGGGCCAGGTGTGCCACAGTGCATTTGGCTCTCTGTGTCCTTGGGGAGCYTCATGGCAGGGTTTTGGCAGCGTTGCACACGCGTGTGCACCGACACCGACACGCATGCGTGCACACACAGCCTCGGAAGGACCCGAGCCAAGGCGTGCGTGTGGAGCTGYGCCAACTAACTCAAAAGTCACAGTTACAGGTTCTCTCCTTGACTGGCTCCATTGTGAAAGCCACGAAACAAAAACAGCCTTGGGCCGAGCCAGCGAAGGTGGAAGCAGCTGATCCCGCAGGGCTCGCTGTGCTTTGCTCAGAGCAGGAGATGGGTTTGGAGACTGGCTCTGAGATCCTGTGTGGGGATCACCAGTCAGGGCAAAGAGAGGGTGAGTTATACAAGGATAAAAAGCTCTTGGAGAATGACACCCAAAATAGAGGCAGTGTTTGAATCCTCCTTCCTGGAGGCAGCTCCATGCCTGGTGTCTGCAGAGGCTCACACCATCAGTGTCTATCTGGAGAAGGCTGTGGGCTGTGACACGTACTGGCTGATCTCCCTGCTCCCTGCAGAGGAGCACAGAAAGTGCAGGAAAAGCTCCTCTGGTGACCAAAGGTCTGGCATAGCCTTTGTCACAGGGAATGTAAGTGCGTGTCGTGTCCTTATCCTGGAGGAGCTGCCCTCAGAGGGAAGCACTGCACTGGAGCAGGCGAGTGGGGGATGTCTGTGGAGCTGGGGGATGCTCTTGTGGAGCTGGGGACCCACCTGAAGGAAGATCCTTGTCCTTGGGTACACCAGGAAGCTGCAGAGCCCACAGAGAGGTCAGGAATGGAGAGGAATCGGTGGTCACAAGGATGAGGATGTGCCACGTGGCAGCCTCCAAACAGCAGCTCGGCAGAATCCGGGGGGCTCTGTGTCCGTCCCATCCTGTCCCATCCCCAGGGACACTGCCGAGGACAGGGCAGGGAGCCCAGCGTGGTGTGACGTGCCAGCCCAGCAATGCTTCAAACTGCCCACGAGAGTCACTGTTGCTTTATCCAAGCAGCTCCCATTCCCCCTGCCTGYGAGCTGCCGCATCTCTTCCCCCCTGCGCGCTTCACTTCTCCATCCCTGACGCTTTTCTTGCGCCCCAGAAACGCGCAGGGCTCGGTGTGGGGAGGAAGAGGAGGRAGCAGGGCTGGCAGCTCGCAGGGAYAGCTTTTGGCATGTGGCACTCGGTGGTGGCTACCCTACATCATCCCCAGCCGGGCACTGCGATGAGCACAGCGTGTGCTTGGGAGACGCGTGGCCCGAATTAACCTCGCTGCCAACCGTTTCTAAGTAACAGCAGTACATGGAGCAAGATAAACTGTGAAGCCTATTTATATTTACCGAGATTGTATTAACCTTTGAAAGGTTGACCTTATGCAAAAAAAACAAAACAAAACAAAACGGGAAGATAAAGTGGCAAAAACATTCAGGGGCGTGAGGGGGTTTGTTGTTGTTTTAATCCTTTCACTCTTTGATTACTTCAGCCTTGGTGGCGGTAAACACACATCGACTTTCAAGGCATTCCTGATTTTTGCAGCTGCAGAGCCATTAAGCCTTTGCCTGTATTCACATTTTCAAGGTCAGCCATGATGCACAACTCAAGGCAACCCATCAGCTGCGTAAAAGCTGCTAATTTCCTTCATTTGCCCTCCTGTTTTCCAAGAATTTGTGCAGCAGATCCAGCAGCAGCGTGTCCAAACCCACTCCTGGATGTCACCCAGGCTGACATGGGGAGGACAGGGGTTGATTGAGCTGTGCTTGCCCTGAGGGACCATCCGTGACCCCTTGTTGGGGTCCATCCCAGTCATTAGCATCACTTCAAGGGTTTCCATGTGTTGGAGCTTCCATCAGGATTGGAATAAATAAACAAACAAACAAGGGGCATGTGTGTGTTGGGCACACAGAGCTTGAGCCTTGGCAGGAAATGTGGAAATGTGGAGATGTGGAGATGTGTGATGGGATCTCTGCAGGAGGGTTCACTGCCCACCGAGGCACCACAGGGCACTCAGGAAAGCTCATCCTGAGTGATGTGAGGGGCTGCAGGAGCCTGGGAGGATTTGGGGCTGRCAAATCAGACAGTGCTGAGGGACTCAGGGCAGGGTTATGACTGTGGGATCGCTGTTGTTCCTGTGAGTGCTGGTGCCTGGTTCAGAAGTGTAAGAGAAGAGTTGAAAAAGGGGAAAATGCTGGTGCTCTCTGCAATGTTCTCCGTTCCTAAACTTAGCCAGGACTGCTCCCAGTTCTCTCTTAGTGAGCTGTGCCCTCTGCCCCTTCCCAAACAGTCCTGTTTGCTGCTAATTATGCTGAGGGATTTACAAGGAGAGGAAGGTGGCTTTTCCCTTCCTGCTGGCCAMGCAGGAGGGGAATGAGGAAGCAGCAAGGGAGTCTCTTCATTTGCCTAAATCCCACAGAACATGCCTACATGAGACTGCTAAGCTCCTGATCGGTAATTACACACYGCAGCTCTGCCTTTAATCGGGATAAAAGACTTAAGGAAACTCCTTTGCCCCTGGTCTCTACCTTTTACCTAGAGACTTTATTGCTGTGAATATTAGCAACAGGAGCTCAGCTCTGAGGCTCAGGCGGGCTCTGGGAGCTCCTGCAGCCTTTTCAGTTCTGTTCTGCTGCTTCTCTTTGAGCATTTAGAAAGTAGAAAGAAGAAGAAAGTGGGGGGTGTCTGGSCAGACGCCGGGGTGGTTGGGGTTGCGGTGGCCGGGTTCTCCCTTGAGGTCCTGATTCTGCTGGCTGGCTGTTTGCAGCTCTGCTGGGCACGGCTCCAAGGAAGCAAAGAGGTCAGGAGATAAGAGCTGGGAGCCCTGCTGTGATCCTGCCTCCTTATCAGGGCCCCAGAGCCYGGGGTGAACCTGTGTGTGACATCCCCATCGCTGCTGACCCCATCCTGGTCTGTGCCTGGGGGTGGCACCTCGTGCCATGCAGGGCTTGGCCTGAGCCCCCCAGCCCTTGGGAACCCACTGGGGTTTGCTCTTGGGAACCCACTGGGGTTTGCCCTTGGGAACCCACTGGGGTTTGCTCTTGGGAACCCACTGGGGTTTGCTCTTGGGATCCCACTGGGGTTTTTTGCAGATCAACATGTGAAATTAATGAAGGAACAGTCTGAGCCATTGGTAGAGCAGAGCTGCCCACGTGCGGTGCTCAGAACGCGGGGAAGGTTTGCACTGGCGCTTCATTGATTTCATTCTCAACTTTAGTCCTGGTTTACCAACAGATGTGGGTGAAGTTCCCGCCTCAGAGGGTTTGTGGGTCTTTYTCTAAGCTGGCTCGGGGTCCCAGATAAGAGCATTTGCTGTTCTGAAGTTGATGCAATTCCAGGTTAAGGTGGAAACTGCTGCACGCTCCTTTGGGAGTGGGGAAAGCCAGGCTGTGTATTTTAGCTGCCTCGTTAATCTGATCTCATCTTTTTTYTCTCTCTCTCTCTTTACAGAAACCAGGCAATGCGGAAAAAGTTAATTTTGTACTTTAAGAGGAGAAATCATGCRCGCAAACAGTGGGTAAGTGATTCCCTCAGACCTTATTCTGTATGTATAAAACAGCGTAATTTATTATGTGAGAAAGGAAAGGATGATTTCCAGCAGGGAGGTGCTGCTGCTCTGTACTTTGTATTGCTGTGGAATCTCTYCTGCTTAAAATAACACACGAAGGAGAGGTCCCTATTCCTGTTACAGGCAGCACCTCCCACCGAGCAGACACGTGGGGCTGGCTTAATCACAGCCGAGCCCATCATTGATCTCAGAAAGCCCATTCACAGCTCAAATGTCTATTTTGTGAGTAATTGAACCCTAAGAGAGGTGTGAAACAAGCTGACTCTGTTTTCGATAAATGGTCCAGAGGCTGCTCTTGACTCCTTCCAGCTGACCACAGAGCAATGTTCTAGGAATTTGTGGTTTAAAACAAAATCCGAGTTCTGCGCCAGTTTGTTTCTAGGCAGCGTTGCATGCGAGAGGGTTTTGGTGACCTTTAAGGAGATAGGTTTTGGTTGGGTAAGAGGCAAGGCAGGAGTGATTTCAGGCTTCAGAGGCGTTTCTTGCGAAGTTCCCAGTAAACAGAGGAGAAAGTTCAAGTGGGTTTCACAGAATTGGTGCATTTTGGGTGCTGACAGTTACAGCCATTCCTGGCAGGAGTGGAAGGCAAAGCCAGCACAGAAGAGGAAATGCCAGAGCAACCAATGGCTCCCACCAGCAAGGTGGATTTTGCAGTTCTTTCAGTGATGTGGCGTCACATTCCACGAGGAAGATGTAAATAGTGTTTCCTGACTCGGTCTCTCTGTCCTGGGGCTGGCTCAGGAGCCACTGTTAGTGTCTTGCCTTTAGGGCTGGTTTTGGGCAGAAGTGCCAAAACTGGGAGGAATTGTTGGAAAAATTCAAAATAACAACCCTGGGAAGTGATTTGAAGGCTGTAGCTTTAAAAGTAACTTCCATTAGAGACATTTCTGAGCCAGATATCACATTATTTTCTTACTATTTTGTATAAAGGCATGTTCCTTTTCCTCTCATGCTTTGTTTTTTGCCCGTTTCCTACCAGTATTCCAAGAGCCACAGACCTTGCATTCCAGAGGAATGGTTGTGTCTCCCGTTTGTGTCCAAATTTGTGTTCATTTAGACTTTTTTATATATTTATGATAAAACTTCTTCCAGGGCAAGGGGCTACAGGGCTTACATGTCAGTCAGGATGTGGCACGGCTGCTGGGTGTTCTGGACACCTTTTCTGCTGCAGCTCAGGGCTCCTGCGTGGTGGGAAGTGGGTCAATATTCCTTTCCTCAAAAAAAAGGATTGCAAAGCATCACGTGGCTTCGTTGGAAACAGGAGGGAAGCGCCAGGGAACTGCTTTCTGGTGGAAATGGCTGGTTACTGTGCTGAACCTAGAGCGAGCTGCTCTGTGTGAATATCAAGGAGCTGGGGGAAAAGGTTTAATTAGGCTGCAAGAGCACAGTTCCTAAAATACGACTTGCAGTGAAGTCGCCTGTCATGCAAAATAGGTGAATTTCTGCCAGCCAGTTTATTCAGTGTCCTTGAAAGGGGATTTTTCAGTTTAGGGAAGCATTTTGCCTATTCTACAAAATAGGCAACATACGGTTGCTGAATTTGCAAAGTGAATACATTTGCTGATTCTGTTTGCAAAATGGGTATGCTTAGCTATTTTTCTGCCTATTTTGTAGCAGACCCTATTTTTAGCAAAGCCCATCTACGTGCCAGCATTTCTTTCTGGCTCTTTTACTTTCTGGGGTATTGTTGCTGCCCGGGGCCGGCTGGAATAGGGTCAGAGCTCGGTCGCTGCAGGGTCCAGCCCCGAGAGTCCCATCCCAGAGGATCTGCAGGGCTTCCTCCTTTGTCCACCGAGGTCAACACAGCAGAAGACATTGAATTGCCATGAAGGGAGCTGTTCTGTGTGTAAGAGGTTTGTCTCCATCAGCCAAGGGAAGAAAAGAAGAAAACCACGGGTCTCGCACRGGAATTGGACCGGTTCCCCCTGTCACCTTCATTCTTCTCCTCWCCCCCAGAGAGCTGCTCTGCTCCCCAGAGCTGCAGGAGCGTGGGTTGGGAGGGCTGGGGCTTGGCACAGCCCACAGACTGCCTTCAGCTGCTACGGCAGCGTTACTATCCATCCATTTTTAGAGGCRTCAGCTCGGATCGGGCTCGCTCTCRCTGCCCGCTGCGATGGAGAGGCTGATGGGCTGCTGAGCCCGGCGGGGAGGGCAGCACAGGGGGCACCCCTGCTAAAAGCTGGCACAGATGGCTGCTCAGGAATGGATATGCTTCCTTAGGGTGCCTGGAGAAGGATTACATGCTTCTGTTCCTGAAGTGCCTGACCAGGAGCTACTCCTGGTGCTGGAGCTGTGAGGATTTGAGGAGTTCACAGTGCTGTAAGGTTCCTGTAATCTTGGCTTTTGAAGGGTGGCAGGGAGCATGTGTCCCAGCTGCAGCAGGAAGCACGGGATGGCGATGCTGCAGTGGGGTTTGCAGTCTGCSTGGTGACAAGGGGCATTGAGGCAGTGCTCAGCCAGTCCAGGGTGAAGCTGTGCTCGGGGGGACAGAGCTGTGTGAGGGGGAAGCTTTGGCTTCACTGCCATGGTGCGAGCTACTGGGGCATCAGCAGCGGGACGTTGGTGTTGCTTTTTCCATCTTAAAAGAGGATGCTTCTTCCTCCTTAAAAGAGGAGCTCTGGATCAAGCTTTTGTCGGGTTTCTCCAAGGAGTGGAAGGAAAGAAGGGGAAAGAGCCCTGCTAGCTGTGAAGCAGTCAGGGCTGTGCCAGGTGGCTCTGCTGTGGTGGTGGCAAGGCAGGACCCGGCCCTGACTCCTTCCCACAGGGAATGACAAACCCTCCAAAGCCTCCAGGCTTCTCCCCAGCCCCAGCCCTCGTGCTGGGCTCTCCCCGGGCCGTGCCGCGGGCTGGCAGCGCTGGGCACCGGCTGCCTCCTGCTGCTGAGGCTTCATCAACTCCACGGGGTATTTTTAGCTTTTTCCCAAATGCGATGCTCTGAAAGCAGGAGGATGTAGCAGATTTGCTGGCAGGGTGGGAGCTCTCGTTTGCAGGGGGCTGATGGCATTGCTTTGGGAGAGGTGACAGCGCAGCAGCTGTGATTTTGCCAAGCTGCCGCGGGCTGTTGGTGTTACCTGTAGCTCCTYGCCCAAAGCGTGAGATTCTCCATGTGGGCTTCTAGGGCATTTTAATTTCTGTTCTCGTTCCTCCCTTTTATCTGGTGGCCRTTCCTTCAGCTCCTGATGAAACCCAAGCACCTGCTGTGCGTCCGTGCAGGGCAGGACGGTCTCTGGCTCCAGACATGAAGTGGGAATTGATTTATTTGCAGGGGAGAGTGTTAATCWGACTCAGCTCCAGGGCTTGAGGTGCTTTGTCTGCGTCACGTTGTTATTGAGGTGCCTTTAAAAGGCCACAGAGATCAAAGATGTGTTGCTGTTCTTGGCCATGGGCCGAGTGCCTGGTTCTTGATTTTGGGGAGCCAGGCCCTTGCTGGTGTGCCCAAATGGAGATGTACCAGACTTGCAGTGCATTTGGTCACATTGGATGATTTCATACATGCACATTCTTTGATGGATGCAGAAGCATCTGCAGAGGTGATTGGAATGACCACAGACAGTATGAAGGGAGCAAAAAGTCTCATTGAAGGGGATGTCCCGTATCTCCCATGGCCTGATCCCATGGTCATTGATCCATGGAGATGGGAATGCTGGAGCTGGTGTGGTGGGAAGGGTGCCTGGCCCTGGGCACCATGGTGAGCTGTCCCCAGCACGGTGACCTGGCTGCTCCAAAATTACAGCCCTGCTCACACGGAGGGGATCAGCTCTCCTGCCCCCTGTGCCTCACCCAARGCCATGTTTGAGTCCCTCGGTGCCCAGTGATGTCAGGCAGGCACCCTGCTCTCTCCTGGAGTGTGGGGCAGGGGCTCCCTCCCCAGCACAGGGGCTCTGGCTCTGAATCCAGCACCTGCTGGGCCAGAGGATGCTCGAGCAGGTGTGAGGGGTGGGCAAAGCCATGCTGGGCAAGAGTCCTGTTCCACYAAATGTGTTGGGTGTGGAAGGGAAGAGCCTGAGGGTACCTGATGGCCTGTTTTGAGAATTCACCCTTGGGTTGGTCCCAGGCCCTGGAGCGTGSCCATGTCCTAATAAATTCTATTTCTTTAAGCAACATGACTCACGCTCAGCCTGAGCAGCCGTGGAGGGCCAGGCCTGCAGGAGCTGCCCTTCCCAGGAACATCTCTGAGCTCCCCTCTCCCTCTGCCCTTTCAGGAACAGAAGTTTTGCCAGCGCTACGACCAGCTGATGGAGGCCTGGGAAAAAAAAGTGGAGCGCATCGAAAATAACCCCCGGCGGCGTGCCAAAGAGAGCAAAGTGCGGGAATACTATGAGAAGCAATTCCCGGAGATCCGGAAGCAGCGCGAACTGCAAGAGCGCATGCAGAGGTTAGAGGAGAAGCGGTAGGAAGGGGCTGAGCTGGTATCAGACAGCCTTTCTTTTTTCTTCGGGGATGGGCGTGGGGTTTGTTGGCGGGAGGGGCGGGCTGGGATGGCTCTCAGTCCCTTTTCTCCCTCTCTGGTCTAAGGTAGAAGCCAGCAGACATGAGTCTTRCTGCTTTTCTCCCCCGGGGTGGCTCAGCACAGAGCCAAAGGGAGGAAAAATGTCAGGAATGTGGCTGCCTGTCTCAGCTCTCCTGCTGATCTCCCAGCTGGCCACATCAGAGCCAGGGGTAGCTCCCTTGTGCTTGGACAGCACTGACCTGCCTTGCTGCTGTGCCCAGATTGAGATGTACCAGAATTGCAGGTGCATTTGGTGGTGTTGATGATTTCATACATTCAGGGACAGGGAGTAGAAACATCTGCAGAGTTTGCTGGAATGAGCACAGACAATGTGAAGGGAGAGAAATGTCTCATTGAAAGGGATGTCCCCYGTCTCTCCCTGCCCATTTCCCTCTCCTCATTAAAGTGCAATTGAGGTCATGTTGTTTGCTGCCAGGAAGAGACACGATTTCATGATCTCCACCCTTTTTGCTGAAAACTCCCTGTCCTTCCCATTCCAGCCCTGGCATCTTGCCTGGCGTCACCTGATACGCACAAAACCCCAATCCCTTCTGCCAGCATCCCATCCTTGTGCCCCACTAACAACTGGGTGGGTCCAAACTCCCTAACTGACGACTTTATTTTGTCTTAAGAGAAAGGGAGAAACGGTACTGAGAAATGTTTTAATTTTTCACTTGCTTAATAAGAAATGTTGTAATTCCTTGGGACATGTGGCTGTTACTGGAAAGGGAAAGCTGTCGATGGATTTGATTTAAAACTTCCCACAGCATTTGAAAATCAGATGTGGTGGCACGGTGCTGATAGCTYGGTGCTAACACCGACACCTTTGTGCCATTGCTGTGGTGGGATGAGCAGGGCAAAATATGGGGGAGAATGTGGTTGGCCATGAAATGTCCTTGTGTTYCAGCAATCCAGGAGGTTGGCACAGGTAAGGACGGTGATTTGAGGCTCTCAGCCTGTGGGTGCCGTTCCCACAGTGTGGGAGGGGGTGGCCGGGCTGGAATGTTGGGATGTGGCTATTAGGGAAGTCAGAACTGTGTTGAATGTGGTTTGCTGCTGATGAAGTGGAGCATCAGTGCCTGAGTGTGTCACTGCCCTCTCCCAGCAGGGTAGGACAGAGGGGCAGTGGCGGGCTCTCCATGTCAGCCGCCCGCAGCGAGCACGAGGTGTCAGAAATCATCGACGGSCTCTCGGAGCAGGAGGTGAGACCARCTTCTCCTTTCTCCTCCTCTTCACCCCTCACTCTGTGTTCTCTGAGGAAGCCAGGACAGGACTGCCAGGTTGCACATTGAAATCCTGTACCAAATGCCACTAGATTTAGGTCATGCTGAGGCTGGGGAGGTTGCTGTGATGCCTAACACACTTTCTGGAYGGGATCTAAAGTTAGAGTTTTATTTAACATGCATCAGCATCTTCCCAGCCACATAAGAARTGTGATGGAGTTGTGCAATGGTTCTGCCAGAGCAAAACATGGAGCTGGTGGCCAGTGGCTTGGGTTTATGAGCATTTGGCTGTCTCTTAGGGATCTGAAACCCCAGCGTGCTGCTCATCCTGGGCAGCACCCCACAAACACCTCCTGGCTGTGGTTTGTTCTGGAAGTGAAGATGGGAAGGGAAGGGAGCCAGCGCCCAGACTGCTGGGTGGAGGGGCTTTCCTGTTTCGTTTTGTTTTCAATGGGCTGTGTGGCTTGACACAGGGGAATCCTATGGAATGAATGGTTTGTACGTGAGCCAGTTGGCCCACATCTTCTGGGAGTGCTCCATTCATCTTGAAACATCCCCGTGACCTCGGCTTCGTTTGGATCTGGTTTCACAAGGGTTCCTCTCTCTTGGCACGGGGACGGGCTGCAGCGAATGGATCATGCTCAGGAGGGGAGAGCAGCCACTGCCCAGCCATAGCTGGGATGTTTGCTGCCTGCTCACCCTCCTGGGATCCTGGGCACTTTGCTCTCAGCCAGTTAAGGTGACAACGTGGAGGACACGGATCTTGGAAGCAAAGGGAGATTTCACAGAGGTTCTGGCCAAGTGGAGCGTTCACTGATGGCCTCTGTCCTCCTGCACAGTGTGCTGCTAAACTCCACCCCGACAGCCGCCTGCTGAGCTCCAACATAACTGCTTTGCTCGTCTCAGAGGAGACCTTAGGAGCTTGCAGCTTTTCCACAGGGCTGGAAGGAGCAGGGAGCTGAGAGCTGGGGAGCGTCTCTGGCAGCAGGACCAGCTCTCCACCCCGGCAGGCTGTTGGAGAGGAGATGGGGTGGCAGTGGGGTGTGATGGCAGCACTGGGCACCCCGAGAGGCCCTGAGCTCCCCCAGCTGCCCGTCTGCTCTACACAGGGACTTCTCCTGTCACCTGCAGTCACCTGGGCTGATGCTCCAGCCCTGAGCTGTTCCTGACCTCCCACCATGAGGAGGCATCTGGAGCAGCCGGTTTCTAGACAGGTGATGTCGCAGTGAGGATGAGGAAGGTGATCACACGTGTTGAAATGTCCATGTCTGTGCAGAGAGCTGGGTTTTTGGGAGGAGGAGGAGGAGGYTGGGTGTGATCAGGCACAGCAGGGAAGCAGAGCAGCRCTGGGCAGGCTGGGGTCAGCAGCTTCTTGGAAGGGTTGGCCATTGCTGTCCTCCCAGGARCCAACATCTGGCTGGGGATTAAAACAGCAGCACTTGAGGCCTGGCCTTCCTGGGTCAAGGGTTGGAGTTTGGCTGAGCAGTGACATCCTGGGTGAYGAGGAGGACTCAGAGGGATGGTGCAATTGGAAGGGGGTGGCCAGAGCATCCCTTTGTCCTCACAGGGTTCACCTGCAGCTCAGCCAAAGGGRCAGYTCCAGCATTACAGCAGAGGACAGCRCAAATGAGACATCACCTTGGCCTCTCTGTTGCAAAGTTGAGGAAACCAGTGTGCCCAGTCTGTCCTGTCCTGGGGAGCAGCTTTGTGTGAACTTTGTGCTCCATAGGATGGAGTAAAGGGATCACATTATGTCCCAAGGTGTTGCAGTAAGGAATGATGGCCCTGTTACGGTGACCTTTGAAACCTCCTGGAACAATTCAGGTTTCCTGTGGAAGGGAAACATGGTGTCTCCCTCTGCCCACCTTTTCAGGAGATTGTGCAAAGCTGGCCCACTTCCCTCACAGTTTGGGTGGGGGGCTGAACCTCCATGTGGCTTGTGAGTTTGGTGGCTGGGCAGGGGTCAGCATTCCCTGTGCCATCACTTTCTCGTTTCTCATCACAGTCAGGAGCTGTTTTGCCTAAGTCAGACATTTCCACACAGGATCTCRAAGCCTTTTATTCCAAAATGAAGGATTAATTGTTTCCTGGCTGACAGCGATAGCCTCTTTCAGCGTTTAATTTACAATTACTCTGGCAATAAAGCTGTCTAGCGCTTGCTTTTGAATTCTCCYGTTCCTCCGCCTGTCCTTTTCCTCTCGAACATCTGTCCCTTGTGGTCCCCACGGGCTCATGGTGCTGACCAACTGTTCTCTCTGCTCTCCCCAAAGAACCTGGAGAAGCAGATGCGCCAGCTCGCCGTCATCCCGCCCATGCTCTAYGATGCTGACCAGCAGCGCATCAAATTCATCAACATGAACGGCCTCATGGACGACCCCATGAAGGTCTACAAGGACCGGCAGGTGATGAACATGTGGAGCGAGCAGGAGAAGGAGACCTTCAGGGAAAAGTGAGTGCAGCCCGTGGGGAGTGTGGGCAGGATGGGTGCAGAGCTCCAGCTGCAGCCCCAGCACACCAAGGTGTGAATTCCCCAAGSGTTTGTTTTGTCCCCCATGAACACATCCCCAGGTGCTGTATYGCCTTGAACCTGGGCACGGGGTGATGCTCCTGCACAGCATCTTCAGGCTTTGCTGTGGTTGGGGTGTTCCTGCCCCCGTGCTGGGCTGTGGAAAGCTGTGCTCGTGGCAGGGTGACAGTGGGAATTTGCACTCCCTGTTATACCAGTGCAGCCCCCACTGTGTGCACATCGCCCTCCTGGATTTACACGCTGTCCTTTGGGCACCGTGTGTCCAGGGGGATTTTCAGGGCTGTCAGCATCCAAACCCCTTACAGAGACCCCCTCAGGCTGCAGCTTCCAGCTGGTTCCTGTCCCTCAGTGCTCCATCCTGCTGTCTGCAGGATTTGCCACCGGCTGCTGTTTCCATGGCTGCATTCCCACAGCAGACACGTGCACGCTCTGGCTGTGGTGCTTTCTCCTGTTTGCAAGCAGTGCTTGAGAACAGCTTTGCTCTCTCCAGTGAGATATTCAGGGAGTCACTGATCCCTTCCCTTGGCTGTGCTGTCAGCCAARATGTGGGTGCTCAGGTCCYATCAGGCTGAGTCCCACAGCCCAGYRGGGWCCCAGRTGKGTTTGACAGAGGGCAGGRGTATCTTTGGTGCCCCCAGCGTGCTGTGAGTGTGTAAAAACAGAGCTGGAGTTGAGCTTCCAGCGGGATGAGCTCTGCTGGTGCTCTCTGCTGTGCACCTCAGGTCCATGGAGGTGTGTGGGTGTACCAAAGCCACCTTGGTGTGACTTCTGGACAATCAGGGGATGGCTCCATGGATTACCAGCATTCCCTGCTGGAAGCCTCTCTGTGTCCAGGATCCTCCTCCTCTCCCTGCTTGTGACCCGCTCCTGTGTGCAGCTGAAATAATTAATTGCCAAGATGGACCGAAAAAGAACAAAACAAGCAAACCRGCTCCAAGCCTTTGATAGAGGAGAATCCTCATTGCTAATTAGCCTTAGAATGTGCCACTCCAAACAGCGAGGCTTGCCACAAATGACGCAAAGGCTAATTACTCGGTCTTTAATGGCAGGGCTGTGCCTGGCTAATGGGGCTGGAGGAATCCACACCCAGCGTGTGCATCCTGCAGCGCACGGTGGATTCTGTGTCATCACTGTGGCTGATGCAGAGCTCCAGGCGTAAATACAGCAGGGTTTCAGGGCTCCCACGAAGCTCATTTTGAGAGATTGGTGCTCAGGAGCTGTAAAGGGGGGTAGAGAGCCCTGCCCCAGCTCTCCCCCATCCTGGCGTGCCGACAGCCGAGCTGCCTGCTGTGCTGCAGCTTCTGGCCTGGGATTTTAAGGTGAACCAGAGTTGTGTCATCTGTGATCATGACCTAGAGCTGGCCTCCTCCTGAGACCAGGAAAACCTGGTTCAGCCTTTTGTTCAGCCCTGTTGGCAGGGGCTCTTGGGGTAAACAGGCAGGCACTGGAAGGCTGACAAGCTCCATGTCTGAACTATTTCAGCTGTCAGGACATAACCACGAGGAAGAGCCTGATTTGATTTGCTTCTGGGCAGGATTTCAGGTCTCTGTTGAGAGSCCATGGCTGGCCCACACTCAGGGATGCCGTGGTTTGCTGGTGAAGGAGCAGGGTGCTGCTCAGGCATCAAGGCTGTGTCATGCTGGGCAGTGTAAGAGTGCAGCATCCATCTCAACGTTATGGGGAGATGGCCTGGCCCATGAAAGAGAGTGGATTTTTATCTGCATTGCTCCTAACAGTGTGTTATCTTCCTTGGAAGCCCCATCCTGTGGTCAGCTCTGGGTTTGTGCTGTGTTCAGGGTGAGGAGCCAGCTCTGGCTCCGTGCCCTCATCCTGGGTTGTTTGAGCAGCCTCTCTGATTTGCTTTTTTCCTCCCCCTCCCAGCATTTGTGGTTTCTGTTTTGTTCTGGTGAGCAGATATGGTGACAGGGGTCTGGCATGCCACCCTGGCTGTATCAAGGACAGCATCACCACGATGGGGACAGCCCCCACACCCTGCTCATGGTTGGAGCTGGTCAGGCCTCTCTGAGTTCAGCTCCGTGCCTGGGCTGAGTTTGGCTCTGGGACAGAGCAGCAAAAGCAGGAGAGAGCCCAGCTGGTTGCCCCAGGGGAATCACTGACAGGGCTGGAGACACGGAGCTGCTCACCATGTCCTGCCCACATTACAGCTCTCCACCGTGTGCCTGCAGTCCATTTCCCAGGGCACAGAGCTGTCAGCTCCTGGAGCTGGCAGAGGGGCAGTGCTGAGCCTGGCTTCCTCTCGTGGCACCGAGTCCCTGCTCAGTCACTCCCCACTCTTTGGCAGTGCACTGGTTAACTGCTGCCAGCAGCTCCTCCTGCCAAGGCTCGCTGACCCTCRCTGTTCCACACCAGCTGGGCACTGGGATTTGCTGGAGGAGGCATCTCTGCTGCTGGGGACAGCTTTCCCTGAGCGGCAGTGTTCCCTCCCGGGTGGCCATAGCCAGGGATGAGCCTGCTGACAGCTCCTCTGTTTTGGGGGCATGAGGCAGGGTTCCTCAGAGCTGCTGTGCCACTGGGCATCTCCTGAGCAGCTCAGCGATGTGGCAGCTCTGTGCTCCCTCCCGGGCTTTGGGTTTCCCTCCTGTCCTTTGCAGCTGCTCCCCACTGCCCAGCAGGGCTTGGGGTCCTGCTCAGTGCCAGRGCCACCCACGGCCATGGTGCGGGGTGTGCTGGCCACTCCTCACCCTTTCCTTGCCACATCCTGAGGCYTTGGCCAGGTGTGCAGCTGCTCTCTGTGCCTGCCCTGCCCTGCTGTTGGTACAACCTTGGGTGGCCATGGGTTGAGCAGCTGTGGGGCACTGCCAGCTCTCCCTTCCCTCTCCCACCCCGTGATGAACATTTGCACATCGAAGCTCCCAACCAGCCCAGCTCCACTGGGCTAAATTTAAAGTTCCTGTCTTTCTGGGAAGCTGAGCAGCAGATAATATTTTCTCAAAGCCCTCAGTCCCTGGGGGAGCTGGCCTTGCTGCTCTGGGTGTGCAGAGGGGGTCAGAGCCGGCACCCCCAGTAACCCCATCCCTCTCTCTCCACAGGTTCATGCAGCATCCCAAGAACTTCGGCCTGATCGCGTCCTTTCTGGACAGGAAGGTAAGGCTGACCTGCATCGTGCAGCCTCTCCCCCATCCCCAGAGCTGCCAGCTGGGCACCTGTGGGYGGTGGTGGCTCGGAGCCCCGGGCAGTGGGAGCCGCGGGGCTGAGTCAGTGCGGGAGCTGGGAGCTCCAGGGAGCCGGGAGAGCTGCGAGCACAGCCAGCCTGGAGCGTGGGCGGCACAGCCCACCCCGGATCTGCCTGCAGAGCYGCTCTCCAGCATCTCCCGCAGGCATTTGGCACCAGCCAGGCTGTCACACGYAGGGTGGGCACCCAGCTGCCCAGCACAAAGCAGAGGGGTTTCTTTGCTCAGGGAAAGAGAGGTTCTTGAGGGTGGRCCGAGTCCCATTTCACGCAGCATTTCGGGTGCGTGTCCTGGCAGCACACGCATCTCCCCTTGGTGTTTAGGAATAATTGCTCACAGGAACTGCCTRACCTTTCCCAGACCTCTGTGCTGTGCTGCTTGGACTTCTTGTTTTTGCTGTTAAGTGGGCTGGTGGAAGAAAGGTTTGAGAAAAAGACCTGAAGGAGGAGTGAGTCTGGTGCCACTTTGAGCAAGGTCAGGTACTTTCCGTGGGACAGGCCATATGGACTGATCCTGCCTGGAAAGACAGCTCTGTCCATCATTCAGATATAAAAAACTCAGATGCAGCTCTGTCCATCACTCAGATGCTCTCCTGAGCAATAAACTTTAAAAGCTGCTGCTTCTCCAGCCCTTGTAGTTATTTGCACCTTCTGCCTGCCTCATTCAGAGTTTCATCCACACAGTGTCCACTCACTCTGGGGGAACCCCTTGCTCTCAGGGGGTGGCCTGCAGAGGTCACTTCCAGCCTAAATTATTCTCTGATTYCTCATAATTCAGGCTGAGGAAATAATTTATAAGACCTTGACCTTCCTGTCCGAAGCAGCAGTGAAGGCCAGCAGCCACCTCRTGCTGCTGCTGTTGCTGTAAGATCCCAGGCTCCTCAATAAAGCCGAAAGTGGTGGGACTTGGATGATGCTCACAATCCAGTCTGTGTTCCAAGCTGTAAAATGTCTTCTAATTTTATTTGTACTCGTTTGTAAATCAGGCTGTAATTATGATACAGAACACATCCATTATCCTGTTGGAGAGAGATGCAAAGTATGGCTCAATGTAATGAATTAATAGATTTTTAAATTGCATTATAAAAAAATAGTGATCTTAGCCCTTGGAACAGATGACTGTAAGTTTTTGTGTTCGCGTGTGTGTGTATAATCATGGCTAGATTAGAAAGAGATCCAATTAACACTTTAAAAGTTGCAATCTGTTTTTGCAAATGGCTCCACTCCTTGCAGAGGGATGGGGTGAGCACAGCCCCCGGGCACCCCCGGGCACACACAGCTGCCCCAAGCTCCCGAGGATTTGCAGCATGATGGGTTTGTGGGATAATTCCTCCTCATCTGACCCTGTGTGTGAAGGTGCAGCGTTCAGGTGCCCATCAGCACCTGATAGGAATCTTTCTTCATCAAAGAACCTCTCCCAGCACGGCACCCTTCATGCCCTTCAGGAGCAGGATAGCTTCTGGCTGTGGCTCTGTGTTTTCCCAGCCTGTCCAGTCCATGCTGGTGCTTGTGGAGCTGACCACTGGAGTTGGGGTGGCAGCTTCTGAGCGCCGGGATCGCCGTTTGTGCGCGGCGCGCGCTGGAGCCGGAGAGCTTAGCGGCTGGAAATAACACCAGCTGACAGTCGTGTGGCAGGTTGTGCCTCCTGGARCTGCAACAGAGGGTGACAGGCAGCTCCTTCTTCTGCCTCTGCTTGCCACGGTCATCTGGGGTCAGCCCTTCCCCCTGCCGTGCTTCCAGCACAGGGGGATCTCTGCTCAGCACCCCATTTCTGTCTCAGCGCACCTGTGGGACCGCCTGGTCTGTCCTTGGGAAGAGCTGAGCCTTTTTACCAGGATAATGTGCACTGCCCACCTCGTCCAGCTCTGCTGGAAGCCTTAGGGAGGGAGGTGTGGGGAGGCTGTGGGGCTGCAGGTTTGCAGGAGCAGCAGGAGACCCGGTGATGATCGGTTCTGAGCTCTGCTCCTGGAAGTCTGTGCCCCAGCAGCAGCCAAGGACAGGACCTTGTGTTCCCTGACGTGCTCCTGTCCTTGCAGACGGTGGCTGACTGCGTCCTCTATTACTACCTGACCAAGAAGAATGAGAATTACAAGAACCTCGTAAGAAGGAATTACCGGCGGCGCGGCAAGAGCCAGGTAAGAGCTGGAGGAGCGCTGGAGGTGTGATCCCTCAGGCTGAGCAAGGAGCTGTCTCTGAGCCCCCCAAATGCTGCTTTTCCCCCCTCCCCACATGGAGATCTTGCTTGCAGGCTGTGATGGGGCTGTGGGTGTGCTCTGTGTAGCTTTTCAGAACATGCTGTTTAATGGAGTTGGTGTTTGTCCATCCCCTTGCCAAGGTCATGGTATCTTTAAAAAAAAGCAAACAAATCCAAGATGCTTAAAAAAGCGGATGGAGTGACTGGGGGAAACCTGGCTGTGTGTCAGGGGCATGGGGCTGCCCGTGCAGTGTGGTCTCTGTGTGAGAGCCCAGTGGGGTCTGTGCCTGTCCCTCCTCCAGCTGAGGTGGCAGTGGTGACAGGGCTGCTGGGAGCTGGCTGGGGCTCCTACCCAAGGCTCTTCTGTAGCCAAAGGTGTGGGAGGAAAAAGGCTTGGTTGGGCATGACTTATGGTGGCACCTGAGCAGACGTGGATAAATCATCTCAAGTGCCCCAGGGTGTCCAGGATGCCCATGGGGGTCTCCTGGGGGCACTGAAGCTAGCAGAGACCCCTAATTCTTGGTTTAAGGGCAGAGCAGATACCAGGGCACCACGAGGTGCATAGGGACAGGGGACTGTCAGTCATTGCCATGGCCAAGATRCAAATCTGGACATGACCTTGGCAGTGATGATACCATGATACCCAGGAACACGGATAAGTGCTGACCTTTTGGGCAGGTGCCTTATCCCCACAAACCAGAGGCAGGTRCTGCTGGTGGATCCCCAGGTCCACAAAGTGAGTGATTATTCATTTCATGAGGAGAATGAGGCAGCCACAAAGGGACTGTCTCCCCAGATAACGTGGGGATAAGGATGGAAAAACTGGCCTGGCCCRTGACACCACTGACATCAGCAGATCTTCACGCTGCATGGCCATAAAAAGCAGCGCTTGGGCCTAGATCCTGATGGGGGAGCAGATAGGTAGCCTCACTCCAATTTGATTTCTGCAGCATTAAGACATCAGAATAGCTAGCACATGACGAATGTCATGGATGGGGCCCAATTTTCCCTTCTCTTTTTCAGAGACATTAGAGATGGATAAAGCCCTGCTAGATTATCCAGTCCCTCTCCCAGCAAACACAGGGTGGTTCCCTCCAGTACATTTTTATAGTGTTTACCATGGTCTGTTTTGTTAGATCACAGCAACTAGAACATGAGGCCACATTTGTTTCTTGTTAGCGGCGCAGACATTTAGCACAGCTCATTCTGGTTTCAATGTCAAATTGAGCAAGTGTGGAGAGTGAGAGGCTTTGCTCTGCATCTGCCCACCTACCCCAGCAGCCACAGAYCTGCCCATCCTGCACCCAGCAGGGATTGTTTGTGTTTTGGGTTTTAAAATTATCSTGAGTGTCGCTGGTTGCAGAATTTCCCACGATGCTTTCCCCACCATCAGTGGAGACGGTGCTGCCCTTTGGAGCCTTGCTCTGTGCCAGCCTTCAGAAGCAGGAACTTGCTTCATCTGATGTAGGAAAAAGCAGGACTSTTTTTCAAGTAGGAATCACACCAAAGGGAACAATTTGCACCTCCCCTGGTGCAGACCTCAGCCAGAACATCRTGGATTTTGAAAAAAAGGAGTCCCCGTGGGTCTGGGAGGAAGCGGCACAGTGAATATTTCCCGTTTCTGTTGGATGCTCAGGTGGAAGGTGGGATGTTCAGACAGGGTTTTGGCTGCATGATTCACAGTAGGAGAGAGGTGCAGAGCAGCAGCTGCTGCGTTCAGCCTGGAGCAGCTCTCCCACAGAGATCTTGGGGGCTTTTGAAGCTCACACTTTGTGCTGTGGTGGCTCTGCTGTTTGCTTGCGTTTCCCAYGAGGCTGCGTGAGGGGAATGCTGGAGGAGCTGAGGAAGGGCTCGGTGCTGCTGGGGGACAGCAGAGGATGAGGGGCTGGTCTCTGCTGGGGAGAGATTCCTTCTAGGATGGCGTTTTGAGGTGATAAAGGGAGCAATGGATTATTAAAAATCCTGCCAGAAGCTGGTGGGAGCAGTAAAGCATCTCCCTGGCACCTCTTCACAAAGCCAGGTTCTCTCCTGTGTGTGCTGATGGGATCTGCTGATTCCACAGACCAGACTGGGTCAGTGTGTGACTGCCCAGACCRTCACARGAGAGGTCAGGTACTGGCAGACCTRGAGGGCTGGGATGGAGGGAGGCTCCTGGTGGCATTTTGCTTTCTGAGTCTTCCCAGAAGCAGCTCAAACTCTGCCTGTGCTGCAGGTGAGCTCATTTGGGAGTAACTTGTCCCAGAGGCTCAGCCAGCACCTTGCTTGTTCCGTGCTTGTTCCCCAGGGGTCCTGGATTACTGGAAACCCTGTGCAGGTCCCTTGTCCTGTTTCKCAGCAGCTGGAGGTGGTGACAGGATGGGGACAGGAGACCCAGTGGGACAGCACAGGGGTGGGCAGTGAGCAGGGAGGGGACAGAACCACAGCCAGCCTTCCTGCAGCCCTGGGACTCACGGCATCCTGTTCCCAGCACTGCCCATGCTCCCAGCACATATTTACCTGCTCCTGTGGGTTCAGGCAGTGAAACACCAAAAGCTGAGAGTTAATTACATTAGAGCAGGGGAGGAGAGGGTGGCTTTTGTRTCAGATGAGAGGAGCRGATGAGATSTGATACAAAGAGCATTTCAAGTGGYTSRATKCTGGTTTCKTRCTCCTTTTCTCACTGAGAGGTTGGTGGTCTTATTTGCTCTTGGAGGCTGCAGGGAGCTTGAGGGGAAGGGGAGATAATTACACGTGGAAAAAAGCTACTCTGTGTMAAGACTATCTTTGTGGCCTACTTATTAAAAGTCCATTAAAAAATAAGAATCCCACTGCTCCCTGGCTGATGGTCCCCTGGCAAAGGATATTCCTCATAAAGCTGCTACTTACTGCTCAAAATCTTCTGCCAAGAGCAGGGGWTTCACATGATTCCACTTGCAGTTTGTCAGAAAACGGAGCAGCCACCCACGCCGAGGCAGGATGCTCCTGGCTCCGTGGAAGGTACCCACATCCAAAGGGTCACCATGCATAATTCTGGGGCTCCCAAGATTAAGATCTTTCTAAAATAATCCTCTGTGTTTGTGTATGAAGAGGCAGTGTAACCCTGCAAGAAGAGAATTGATGTGAAGAGAAATAGCTTCCCGGTTGTTACTTCTCTTTGGAAAAAGAAAAAAAAAGAATGTGTGCCATGGTAAAACAATCTGATCCAGTAGTCAGTGTACAGTAATAATCATGAATTTGCATGAGCTTGTAATGACAGACCCTTGTRTGGATGTGTCCATACAATCGAGGTCTGTGGCAGTCACTCTTCAGGATATTTCAGTGTCTCTCTGTGAACCCCCTGAATTCTATAGCAGGGGCACCAAAATTGGAGCACCGTGCGCTTCAGTCTTTGGGAAGCTGTTTTGCCAGGCTGTGGGAGCACAAGTGTTGGGCTGAAACTGGGCTGGAAGGAAAATGACTACTTCAACATGAATATTCCATTCGGAGTGTGAGGTTTTTTATTCCAGAGTAAATTTGCATTGATTTTGGAGTAACATTGCCCTTGTGGTAGTGGAGCAGCCGCAGCATGCCAGATAYGCTTTCTGCCAGTGAGTTCCTTGGGGAGCAAAAGGCATTGTCTCCTGCACACTGCTGGGATGGGCAGGGGGGCACTATCAAAGGCAAAGGCACGATGGGTCAGTCTGCAGGGGGATGATGAGTCAGAGTGGCAGGGGAATGATGGGTCAGTGTGGCAGAGGGATGATGGGTCAGTCTGGCAGAGGGATGATGGGTCAGTCTGGCAGGGGGATGATGGGTCAGTCTGGCAGAGGGATGATGGGTCAGTCTGGCAGAGGGATGATGGGTCAGTCTGGCAGGGGGATGATGGGTCCGTTTGGCAGCAGCGGGATGATGGGTCAGTCTGGCAGTGGGATGATGGGTCAGTCTGGCAGTGGGACAGTGGGTCAGTCTGGCAGGGGAATGATGGGTCAGTCTGGCATTGGGACAATGGGTCAGTCAGGCAGCAGCAGGACCATGGGTGGCTGGAGGAGCTGCCTGCCCGCCCCGAGGGTGACTCAGAGGGGATGAAGTCACGGTGGAGGGCCGCAGCCGCCGGCCGGAGCGTGGTGCTGGCCCCCTGGGCTGCTGTCAGACAGCGCTGGCTGTTCCTGGCCAAAGCCCCGACACTTTCGAGGACTCACTCCATGGCCCCCGGGGGACTGGAGCYGCCCRGASCCCCCTTCCTYCCCC